TGTTGAGTTGTTTTGAAATGTACAGCAAGCACAAGCATTGTAATTGCCAGAGGAAGAAGAACAATGAGAGAGGGGGGAGGAAGTGATAAGAGATAAGATCTAAGTGCAATCAAGAATTGGTAACAGTCAAACATTTACAGTCCAAATAATATTCTCCTTCTTGCCTGTTTCTATCATAGAAGTTGGAGAGTGTGAGCAGTTCCTCATTTTTTGTATACTTTATTTAATGCATTAGTATACAACCTGTCCTGTAAATAACTGTTTTCAATGTTCAACCCAACATAACCCACCCCATGTATACCCTGTCATAATATATAATGACATCATTACAAATAACGCAGGAAATCAATCAAAAAGACTTTGACATCCAATATTTACAGGACGGGTTTGAGCGCATGAATACTAAAGGGTTAAACTGCAAAATCATAATGGTTAAGACATTTTATAATGACTTAGTATACACATACTTAGTCCTCTTATAAAGATTCTAAGTATTTTGTATTTGTGAAAGCACTATGATAAAGGATGCACAATGGCTTTGTGCATATGCCGGGGATTCTCAGCCTTATCTCACTTTGTTTTATTTAATAATAATAGCCTATAAATAAGTTTAGAGTTTTTTTTTTCTTCTTCTTCATCCAATGCAATGCCCAAGAGCCACTCAAGCTAGAGGCTTATTGAATGCAGTTGTTGTGAACATAATGGAATAGCTAAAGATGCCTTCCAAAAGCTAATCAAGGTATTAAGAAACAGGAAAATTTCATTAGAAACAAAGAAAGGAGTACTGAACTGTTCAATAATATCAGCCATCCTATATGGTAGTGAATCCTGGACAATCACCATGATAAAGATTTGAAGCAACAGAAATGTTCTACAGAAGTATTCTGAGAATACCTTGGGCCAAACATGTTAGCAACAACAAAGTTTTAAAGAAAATGGTAACGAAAATGACAGAAAGAGATAGTTGAAATTTCTATGGCACATAATGAAGAAAGAGGGCTTGGAAAATTTAATACTCACAAGACGGATTGAAGGCAAGAGGGACCAAAGAAAAGCTGTCTAACCTATCTAACAAGCTTGTGTAAATGGATATCAAAACAGGGTTTTGGAAAGATAATAAAAAGACAAAATTTAAGATCAGAAAATTATAGAGTCATGATAGCTAACATCCTCAACAAACATGGCACATAGAAATTATTGAGAAACAAAGAAAAGAAAGCAGATTTTTATGACACTGTTAAATGACACCATTACTAAAACCTACTACTCGTGGTTTCTGACTTATGATGTGTGATTGGAATAGAATTGTATTATTTAGGAACTACTTGTATTTCAAAGTGCCAGTCAGCAGTTTTTTTGGAGGGGAGGGCAGAAGGGGGGAGGTGACGATCATCCTATTATCAGATTAATGCTTTCTAGTTTTTCGTTTATTAATTTCTGCTGAGATTTCAATAGTAATCTCTTTGCTTAAAAAGCCATAATTTGTGTATACTGCATTAATTGAAGCAGATTAATATTAATTATCCAGATAAATATTTGTAGCAACCACTTTTCAATTTAGACTGATTCCTTTTTTTTTTTTTTTTTTAAATCATTTCAACCCAAGCAAGGCCATAAAAGCCATGAAGTTGCAAGGATCTACTACACGTGAAAGAATAAGTAAAAAGAAGAAAAAAAACATTAAGAGAAAATAATAAAAAGGCTAGGAATTAAGATACAGGATAACAATTGATGACATTGTGTTTAAATTTTTGAAGATTAAAGTTGGCTGGAAAGCAAGAGGCTGAAAGAGAATTTCCCAACCAAGAAGTTTGAGAGAAGAAATTGTTAACATAGAATGCTTACATCAAGCAATTTCAACTGTAAAATGATGAAACCTAGCTGCCAATCTAGTACTGTACTTCAACAAGAAAAGCTCATTGGAATAATTACCATGAAAATATTTCTCGAAAAGGCACAGGGAAGTGTGGCAGTGGGAAAGTGACTAAAGTCAATAATGATCAATGCTGCAAATATTTAACATGTTTACTGATGCACAAAATACATCTGTGCCTTATGGAATATTGCTTTTGATGAACATGTGCATCTATTCCATGGTTTTTCTCTCTCTAAATAGCAATAAAAATTTTATCAGTATTATTATTGTTTAACCTTGATTTTCAGAGCTGTTTTATGGTAAAGAACAATCATTACACACAAATAGAAAGTTAATGCTGAAGATGCATATTAGCATCATTCTTCACCATTTAAGATATTTAATTTCATCCTCAGGCAGGTTTGGTTTAGGACTCCACGTTCTCCACAGACAATAGCCTAATGGATTAAAGTGTTGATTTGTGAATTTGGTGACATAGTTGAGTTGAATCCCTGGGTTGAGCAGTATGGACACATGGTGAGCAAGAACTAAACAATACTATAAATAAGAACTAAATCTTGCAGTGGTGCAAGAACTGTCTATCCCCATAGATTAAATAAAGTGTTCAGTTTGATATTCCCTGTATGTTACCCAGATTGACATACACCGGATGAAGGCTGGAGGGCACAACAGCCAAAACATAACATGAAAGATGAGGATAATAGTCTGCATGTAAATAGTGTAAATAATGAGGTCTACCTCAATAGGTTGTGCCCCTCCTCACATGGCCATTAGGTCAGGTGAGGTCTAACATGGATATTTATCTATCTATCTATCACTCACATTTTCTGATGTGAAACGGGAGGTAGACCTCACACTATAGTAGCACCAAATGATAACTTCTCATCCCAGAAATTCAGACAAAATTTATCAAAAGAGCAATCCCTAATAATAATTCTTAAAAAACATAGATGACATTACATAAGATTTCCAAGGTAGCAGTGAATGTTTAAGAATTCAGTTAGCATTCAGTCTTGAAGTCAAGTTGGGATTTTGTTTCAGTGCCGAATTGATATCAGTTTTCCTATAATGTAGTAAATGCTGAACAATTTCCTTACAGAATGAGAAGACCTGAAAGATACTGGAAATACCATGGGTAGACCATGTCAGCAATGAAGAAGTTTTAAGGAAAATGGAAACGAAACAGATGTGTGTACTTAGTTAAAAATTCTGGGACACATGAGGAATGGCTTGGAGAATTTAACACTAACAGAACATATTGAAGGCAAGAGGGAAACTTCATCTAACCTATTGAACAAGATTTTGTAAATGGATGGCAGAACGGAACAGGGAGGAATGATAAGCAAGCAAATATTGCTTGACACTACAAAGAATATGAATATTTACACTATTTATATCCAGGCTATTAATGCCATCTTTGTTGTTTTTATCACAATGTTTCGGCTATTGAGTCTTCCAGCCTTCCTCAGGTGTATATCTGTTGTAACCTACAAAGGGTTACTGAATGAGGAATAACCAAAACAGAGGTTGGAAATGAAATGGTAATCTTCATAACATTAACAAAATACAATGCTCGCCAACAGCGTGAAGTAGGCAAACCACTGCTAGTGGTGACCTACTTAGACAGAATATTACCCTTGCTTACAATAGTGTCCAACTATTTATGAGGATTGGGACATACCCATTAGTGTTCAGAGGTACAGTATATAACGATATCAATCTGGGTAATCTACATGGAATTACGAACTGAACCCTTTATTTAATCTACAAGGGTAGACTGTTCTTGTTCCACTGCTCATCTCTAGGGATATGTAATTTTTATGTTACTTAGTAGTGTTCAGTTATTGAACAATAACTAAACAGTATTAAATAGCATATTTGGTTTGGTTTGATTAGTACCAGAAAGTCATTGTTCTTTTATATTACATGCCACTCCAAGACATTGGTAATCATGGTTCGCCATATCTTCCTATTCTTTGTAGCTCTATTTAATATTTGCTGTTTTACTACCCCCACCTCCCAGACCATTTTGCCATCCATTGCCATATACTCCTAGGTAGCTGTCTATATTTCTGAGATGAGGTATTATGTACACTATTTACATTATTCGGACTATTGTCCTCATCTTTGTTGCCATATTTATCACATCCTTCAGTATCTATCTATATTTCTGAGATGAGGTATTATGTACATTATTTACATTATTCGAACTATTGTCCTCATCTTTGTCGCCATATTTATTACAACGTTTCGACTGTTGTATGCTCTGGCCTTCTTCAGGTGGTTGGAATGTCGAACTGAACCCTTTATTTTGCTTGCTGGGGTAGACTGTTCTAGTTCCACATGCCATGTTTAATAGATGTCAGTTATCAGTTATCTCCTGCTTAATTCCCTCTACCCCAGTGAGCAAAATAAAGGGTTCAGTTTGACATTCCAACCACCTGAAGAAGGCCAGAGCATGCAACAGCCGAAACATTGTAATAAATATGGCGACAAAGATGTGGATAATAGTCCGAATAATGTAAATAGTGTATTCCTAGGTAGGTTACTCACTGTTTCCATTTGCCCCCTTTGCATTCAGTATGACCTGTGTGTGTCAAAACCCTCTTTCATCATTATATGTCACCGTTGTTTATGCTTTTTTTTCTTTTTTTTTTCTTTTTTTACCAGTTGGTTGGTGGTATTAATAATAGATAAACTATAGTTTTTAAACTTAGTGATTAATCCTTTTGCTATGTCATGTCAGCTAGAATTGATTGAACCAATCTATTTTCAGTGTTGATTTCAACTTGTCCACACACAATACGTATATATATATATATATATATATATATATATATATATATATATATATATATATATATATGAAAATGAATAAATGAGATTTAAAAGATTAGACTGACACTGGAAGACACACCTAGATATTAAATTATCCATTAATTAAATGTTCAATGTAACATAGGTTTTTGTTAGCTTTTTGTTCATAAATTGATCATCTCATAAAAAACTGAGCTTGGTTACATATTTCTGGTTTGGTTGTTGGTACTTATTTTGCCATTTGTTTATATTTCTGAAAAGGTAATTTGATGCCATTGACTATGTTTACATATTTCTCTTCCCCCAGGTGATGGAAACAAAGAACATGTTGTACTTAGTCACTGAATATGCCCCCAATGGAGAGATATTTGGTAAGTGTCCAGACTCTTTCCCAAAGGTCTAAATTCTTTAATTGCTGCATTCCATCAATTTTTGTAGATGTATGAAACTGACAATGTCAAAAGCCGAGCTTACTTCGCATGAGAAAACAAAGATCAATCAATAATAAATTCTAATTAGAAATGAATTAATCTTAGATTTTTTTTTTTTAATTAAAATTTAATATTAATATTTAATATCAATTTAGTATTTAAAATTTAATATTATTTTATTTAATAAAATTTCAAATTATAATTTTTAAAATTTTCTTAAATTAGAATTGAATTAATTAATTGAATTATTAATTTAATTAATAAATAAAGATCAATCAATCAATAAGTTTAACTTTGGGTGCTGTTTTTTTATTCTTTCTGCCTCTTATTTTTTTCAGCCTGAAGGGATTTAGAATTAATAAATAAAAATATATTGTAAAGCAGGTTTAATGATAATCTCTACCTTAATTTCTACCACAAAATGGCTAAGGTGGCTTCTTTCTTTCTTTCTGATAATATTCAGTTTGAATTGAAAAAAAAATAACCAGAATAAAAGCCAAACATGAAGAGTGCTATTTAGTTTGAATAGTAGTTGGTATATGGTGTGTCCTTTCAGCATATGGGTGATCTTGACTCTCCACAGCTTCCTAGTTTTGGGTATGACGATAAACTACATTTGGCAGCAAGGCCTCTCATTGGGTGATTGGAGGTTTTGAGGAACCGAGAACCACCTCTTAATTGCTACTGCTCTCAAATCCATCCTGACTGTGGTGTTAGCACCTGTTAGGGTCCTAGCTTCAAATAGTGATCTTCCAAACAAAAATCAACAGTACATTTTTATAATAAAATGACCAACAATACATTTTTTATAGCAATATTACAATCAATGCAACACTAAAAAAAATATGAAAATACATTTTTGTAGTAAAATTATCAACAATACATTTTATAATTTACAAACTATATATCTAAAAGAACATACCTTTACTCAAAAAGTATAAAATTATGTACAAAATATATTCAGTTGAAGCTGTAAAATTGCATTCAAAATATTTAGGTTTCAGCATTCAAAAAACTCAGAGGTTGATATACCACTAAAGAAAATCATCAACAACTTCCTATCCTTTTCAGCTATGAATTTTGTTGGATAGAGTGATTTAATTATTGTATTTCGTTGTTAGGACTAATATCCCCATGTTTGTGTGTGTTTTTTCTTCTAATTATATATACTTTGTTATTTGTGATTATTCCAAATCCTGAGATTTACAAGGATAGATCAATAAGTCTGTAACTTGACAGTTATTAACTGAATTCTGATCTTAAGTTTTCATTGTATAATATTTTACTAGGCAGTACAAAATTTAATTATTGCAATAAAATACACATTAAAGGACATCAAGAAAGAAGTATATAATAATAATGGCTACTTGTTTTCAAGCACACCTGGCTAGTCAATCCCTGTTCCTGCTCAGACACATTTCTGTTTTTATTTTTCTCAACACCCACAGAGCCCAATTGTGATTATACTGCAACTATGTTGAGTGGACTTTAGTTACAGTTTCTGGGAGAGAATACATCATCTGGCAGGATCAACAGTTTGTACAAGGCCAGTATGATCAAACCCTCGGTCACGATGACTTGTGCTAGTACAATAATTGCTGTCTCCCAAACAGTTTCATTTACCCAATTTCACTCATGAGGCTTGAGTCCATCCATGGTCTGATTTTGTTAAATTTTCTAATGGTGCCACACACTGGGATCATGTCTCCAGACTAATACCATCAAGAAGTAACTTTACTGACAAATCAAACATTTAAGCGTTCTTTCTTCTTTGTGTACATGTGTAAAAATCACTTTAGTCTGATGCTTTGTTAAAGGACAAAATGTGTTACATGAAAATGTTTCCCATTTTGTCATTAATTTTCCTACAAAATTTAAAAAAAAAAAAAAAAAAAAAAGAAATTCTTCCTTCCTTCCATTTTCATCATTTTGTACAATTTTCTAATTTCTTGATAGAGCTCCAAAGGATGATGAATGAGAACAAGTCAGTTTTGTTGTTTGTTTTTTCTTTACATCTTTACAATAATTATATATGTTGTAGCATACCTACAGACGATAATGGGTATATCCCCATTCACATAAATACAGTAGTAAATACTGTATGTTGGTCTGCAATTGAAGATTTGTCTCCTGCTGTGCTGGTCAAACTCTCTGTCTTCAGGTAGAGAGGATCCCCAGACAAAGCTATGTTGAAGGGCAGAGTCTTGTCTCAGGAAACAGCTACCTGGCCCTGTTTTATACAGGGTCTACGGGGAATTTTGGGCCTAGCCTATGGGCTTGGATACCCCACATTAAATTCAGCCTTGTGCCACATCTGACCACATGGGGTAGTTGGTAGATATCCTACAATTAGATTCATTGTGGAATTCATTTGACTCACTTTTAGTAGTTGACTACTCCTACATGCCACTGGTGAATCTTATATGTGTTGTTCTTGTCCTAAGTATTATTGTTCATTACCAACCTTCGTGTGATTATTTTATTCAGTAACCATCCCCAGGTTACAACAATATATATATTTATATCATTGTACAATGTTTGTAATTGATACTCATCACTGAACCATCCTGGGTATGATGATAAACTACATCCATGTCCTGGGTAAGACAATAAACTACATCCAACAGCAAGGCCTCTGAACAGGAAGTTTTGAGGAATGTGGAACCACCTCTTAATTGCTGGTGTTCCCAGGTCCACCCCGACCTGAGGTAGTAGCACCTGTTAGGGTCCCAACAATGGGTAAATAGTTAACCCCCAAACTGGAGTCAAAACACTATGTAAGTATAAAAATAAGTTTTAATACCAGAAATACTTTGCAAAAAAAATTTATTACCAGCAATACATTTTTGAATAAAAAAGATATTACCAGCTTGAAGAAACAATATTACCAGAAATAAAAATCTTGTTGGCATTAAATAACCCATTGAGGTTGATATGCCGTAAAACAAACCAAACCAAACTCATCACTGAATTAAGTGTATTGACAAAGAAAGAGATTAGTTCTGTCTGAATTTCTATGATAAATTACTTACATTTAGACTAATGTTCTTATCTTTGTTATTAGAAAGATACTGGAAAAATGGTTGGTCCATTGTATCACTCCAGTAAGTATCTGACCCCCTCCTGCTATACTCTATTTTTGAAAAAGCCAGCTCAGACCCAAAATGGAGTATTGCTGACATATCTGGCCTGGAGATGTTCAGTCCTCACTTAACTGTTCAGAAGTGTCTATGTCACTTTATGGGTAATTAATTATTTTCCACACTACATCTACAGATGAAATGTGGCAAAGCCTCTCACTACTTTATCGCTATTTCTATGGCAGATGTTCTGACAAGCTGTATTCCTTGGTCTCACCAGCCCTGACATTTGCCTACACAGCATAAACATGTACACAATGATGAATCATCTTCATTCTTTTTATATTCCTTTAATACAAAGCTCCACTTGGATAGCTTAATCCTAAAGACCGCTGCTTTGTGGAACAGATTCTCAGCAGGATGTTTTCTTGATCAATTTTATCTTGACCTCTTCAAGTCTAAGGTTAACTATTATCTTTCCGACATAACCTCATGAACTGCATTTCTTGCCTTTTCTGGCACTCATACATCATGCAGTAATCTTCTAGCTTGAGTGGCTATTAGACCTCGTTGAGGGAACATTAGTTTAAAAAAAAAAAAAGAGAGATTGTGTAGATAAATAAATATTTGGTTGTGTAAAGTAAATGCTTTTTTATGATTATGCTGTAGATTTTAGGTACCTACATTTATCTATAACTATAGATTTACAAATATATATATATATATATATGATGGACTGTCCTATTGTTTTCAATGTATGAGTGTCTTTCAGTTCAGTTTTTATCTTTGTTTCATATAAGACATCAATCCTGCACGGGATTTGCAAACAATCCACATGAGGAACATGGTGAAGGGTTGACCATCACATGGGATGATATATTGGCCCAAGATTTAGTGTTGGTTCCTAATTCTCTCTGATGGTTGAGATAATTCTTTTCAAAGTTAGTTATACCTCGGTGGCAGGTGTTTCTCCAGTTTGCTCGGTTTTCAACAGCAACTCCTCTATAGGGATGCTTGCAGCATTTAAATTGTTTTTGAGTTTGTCCTTGAAGCATAACCATGGGCAACCTACATTATGCTTACATATATATATATATATATATATAAACCCAGAAAATGTGTAAATGCTTGGATCAGATATTAAATTAAAATTTTGTTTAATAGCAAAGCTGAGAGAAAAATGGGTTATAAAATACATGATTTAATTATGTTTGAGCAAATTCATAATTTTAATTAACACACCAATTTTGCATTATTAAACAGTTATTTTAAACAATTTATGTCATCATAAAAATAACTTTTTTATGGAGAAAAAGAAAATATGGTCTGACCATTGGATGAAAAAAAAAATCCATAAAACTGAGTATGAATTTAGATAAATGAATGATTTTATTTTATTATTAGTGTGTGTGTGTGTGGATACATTTAGGCTTTATCAATCTTAAGCAATTGTAGCTTCATATTTTGCAGATAAAAATTCTGAATTATTCAAACCTAGTATCTAAGATAACAAAACAATATGTCTGTGTCTTTTTAGTAATGTAAACAGTGTATTCCTGTTTTATTGCCTGGGTCATATAAAATAAAAATAAACCCTTACTATGAGGTAATGGTGAACAAGGTCACAAGTTCAATCCCTACTTAATGCCTCACACTTGTAGTCTTGTGCCATAGTAAATTAGACTAAGTAAATACACAAAAGAACATTTTAATCCAAGCAGGCAGGTGTTTGAAAGTAAGAATCCTAATCCAGGATTAACACAGTCACTTAGCTGAAATGAAACACTATCAATACAGTCTCTCGTCATAAAAAAGAAAAAAGAAAAAAGAGCCTCTTAACAATGACAATGGTTGCCTTATTATGACCCTCAGTGCCTCAAGCCCAGCAAGCTGCTAATTTGCATAAGTTTGCATCTCAATCATTTCATAGATCACTAATTTTTCACCTTACCTTTATTTATAAGACCATAAAAAGAAAGTGACATTCAATAATTGGTACTGTATTTATTTACTAAGATTAGATTTGTTTTTAGAAAAAGGTCCCAAGTATGGTTCACTCAGCAGGAATACAGAGTTGAAATAATCTGAATCCAGCTTGCTAACCATAACACCAAGATGAAGTAATGCAGAATATTATTTTTGCACTGCTCATCTGATAAGGACAAAAATAAATCCTTGTCTGTATAAAAAGGAGTTTATTTTTTGCTCTCTACCACTCATTAAAATGTTCACATGTCTTAGACTTGTCTGTTTGTTGAATTCAAAGGCTTTACTCTGAGGATAAAATTTGTTTATAATTTGGTTGGGAGTTCAGAAATTACCAAAGTCTTAATCCTGTTAATAACATTAACAAGTTGAAAAAGTTTTGTTGTTTGATTTTTCTTTTTCTTTTTTTTTTTTTCTTTTTTGTTTTAAACTATGATTGCAAATAAAAAAAAAAAATTCCACATATTTTTAAAGTACTGTCCAGTTAAGTTTAGTCACCATCCTTCAATGACTGTACATGTGCACACAAAAGCAAAAAGAAAAATATGTATAGACACACAAGCAAAAATATGCATATGTGCATACACACATACATTCATAAACCAAAATCTATATTTAAGTGTGTATACATACGAATAAATCATAAACGTGTATGTATACATACACACACATACACTAAACTGTCCAACTTGGGAAATGAAAACTGACTCCAAAAATTCATCACAACAAGCAAGATAAGGAGGTATGTAGGTAGTTATGACATGAAGATAAGTCAGAGAAGAAGAACAGTGCATGTGTGCATATATATATATATATATATATATATATATATATATATATATATATATATGTGTGTGTGTGTGTGCACACACACACTATTCATTCTTGTCACTGATTTCTCATGTCATAACTACCTACATGCCTCCTTAAGTTTTTTGTTGTGATGAATTTTGCCAGAGTCAGTTTTCATTTCCCAAGTTGGGTAGCTTAATTTACACAAGCCTTTCCAAGCTAAATTATGTTGTGATAACTGAATAATCTATTTAATCACTGTTCAAATCACTGTACAACTTTGTTTTGAAGTCAAATCTGAAGTGTTGAGAGGAGGAGCAATCAGCTTGATGTCCAGTTATATGAAGAACCAGGCACTTGACTCGAGCAATACAAAAGAGAGAAATGCACGTAATAGAAAGTCATTTGATTCTGACCACTTGAATTATAGGCTATGGAACTAAACACAATTTTTAACCTCCTTCAAACAACTTAGTACTTTTATATGTCAGTTTTTGTTAATGTTCTTATCATATTTGTTGTCTGTTGAATGATTAAAGGGTATTCTTTATTATTGTTTATTTTACTATAGACTACATTGCCCAAAATGGACGGATGTCAGAGAGTGAAGCAAGGAAGAAGTTTTGGCAAATTTTGTCAGCAGTTGAATACTGCCATAACATGAGAGTTGTTCACAGGGATTTAAAAGTAAGTTTTCTTCAGATATTTTATTCTGCTGTGAAAATTTCTGGTGGTGTAGATAACAACATGATGTGAAGGAGGTATAATGGCTAGCAGGTCAATAAGAAATCTACAAACTGAGCTTGAATTTGAACTTGGTTTGTTCCCTTTCATGCATGTTTTTGTAATCCATCAAATGTATATAATGCAAATAACAGAAAGACTTCACTGTAAAATAATAAAGTATTACCAAATACAATTAAAATATATTAATAGCAAAGAAGTAAAAAGTCAACGGAAAGATTATTGATTACTTATCAGTTAATACATGACTGTGTAGAGCTGCTATGAAAAGTACTAATTCGTCTTGAAACATGTGACACTCTACTTTAACATCCGGGTTAACGCAATTGTCAAACACAGTCAGTAGCATGATATTTCTATTTATAGTAAATGGTGAACTACATTTTCATTGTCTATAGATTCACATTCAAACTCCTGCATTCAGCAGTGACACTTTTCATTCATATATGACACCTATATTCTTGGGAAATATATGAATCCATCTCTTCTCTTTTCCCAACTATGGGTTAAATAGTAGAGCAGTCTGGGCTCTCTAGCTATGGTTGGCAGTTAGTCTAGAAGAATGACAACTCTGAATTCAAAACTGTATGAAATCCTGGCATAGCACGTACTATACTAGCCATCAACAAGAACATGGAGTGTTCACAATGACTGTCATTGTCGTTATTGGTGGAACTTGTTACTGAGTATTGGGATGCTCATAGACATTTCCTTCTGTATGAAATGAGTTCTATATCAGATCTGACTGTTTCAGTGTATTGTCGTAATTGACTGGATGGCAGAATGGGGACAAAGAGGGATAGTAGAGGATCAAGTTACTTAGAGAGAAAAAAAAGACATGAAGTTGTGGAGAGCCATGATTGTCCATGTCCTTCAAGCCCTTGGCACAGAAAAGATAAGTATTCCAGCTGACAGTGTAAATATAAACTATTAATTTTATAGATGTTTCCAAATATACTCATCTGTTTTCACATTATAAAGTTGCATGGAAAATGTTTACAAATACAATTATATATGTTTTGTTGAATATGACGAACAAGGAATATTTTGTAAATTTACACAATGAGTCCTCAAAAATAAAGACATACTGAATAAAAAATTTAAAATATCTTGCCAAATTTCATTGTCATATTCAATGAAACATGTATAAAACAAGGATTGTTGCCCAAATATACAATATTAATATACAGTTATATATATATATATATATATATATATATATAGAGAGAGAGAGAGAGAGTGTGTGTGTGTGTGTCAAAATAAAAAAAAAAGAACAGTCAGATTTATAATCCTGAGTTCTTTAGCATTTATTTTTAAAACCAGTCCTCAATACACAACAGCATAATATTATAATTATTATTTAAGATTTAGGTTTTGGTTTTAAATTATATATATATATATATATATATATATATATATATATAAATGTTAAACGTGGTCAGTGTCTACTTTTGATTTTATGTTCAGTGTCTATCTGAAAAGTAACTGGACTGGCTGTACTGTGTGAGCTATGGACAAAAGAATGTTACGTGGTTTGTGTTACCATCTAACATAAGAGTGTCTAACTGTAATCTTAGCTTTCTGCAATCATTGCATTTTTTTTTTTTTTAACATGCAAGAGTTGTGGCAGGAAAAATCATGGTTGCTTCATTATGATAATGCAACCGCTCACAACGTCCTGAGCATCCAGCAGTTACTGACTGAGAAGAACATTGCCATACTTGTACAACTTCCCTGTTCACCTTATCTTGCCCTGTGTGACATTTTTCTTTTCCCCAAGCTCAAGGGAATCATCAAGGAGACCTGTTTTGAAGGTGTGGAAGGCCATCAAGAAGGCTATAATGACGAAGCTGAAAGGCACCCAAGAAGAATCCTTCCAGCAGTGTATAGAAGCGTGGCAAAGAAGCAAAAAAAAAAAAAAAAATGGAAAAAATGCATTAGACTCAAGGGGGGCTCCTTTGAAAGGGAAACTATGTAATTTGTTGTTTGGTATTGAAATAGATTGTTTGTGACACCTGTCTCATTACTTTTCAGAGACCTCGTATCATCATCATCATCACCACCACTAACATCTCCTCCTCCTACTCCAGTTACCCCATATTTTCTCATTTTTTATTTCTTGATATGAACATTTTCTAGAATTTCTACTGTAGTTTTGGGTGGGGTGAGACAAGGCATTGAGCATACAAGTTCTTTCTTTCTTATCTTTCATTATTATATCTTGTTTGTTGGTGGAAACTTTTTTTTTTTTTTACAATTTGGATTGGTGCTTTCCAGAGAATGGAAAAATTATTCATTTTCTTTTACACTTGATAATAGTTTGTGCTCAGAGTATTTACCTTTGACTTGTTATATTGCTTATCAAGGAGGGCATGCTTTTATTTATGCCTCAGTATATATTCTTCTTTGGCTGATTCTAAGTATTCAGAGTAGAGATGATCTAATGTCAAAATCATAGCATTCATAATGACTTTATAATATTGACTGCATTGATGTATTATTATTATTAGGTAACAATGCATTCATTTATTGTTTTCTTTTTTCCTTTTTATATACGGTACTCTTAGAAAGTGTCTTAAAACCATACCACAAGTTGATCCAAACTTTGTTAGCACAAAATCACAGTTTTGATCATTTCCATAGAAACTTAATTCATTGAAATGCCTATATCCCTATTATGTCTGTCTGGAAAGGGTTAACCTAGACTGTAGAAATATCCTCTCTTTCTAATGGAAAATAAAGATAATCCCAACATTGTTTAATATACACAATGTATCTAGAGCATGTTTGACTATAAAGCATAAATGTTCAATGTTTGTAAAATCTTAAGAGTATGAGTCCATTGTTGATTTTTTTCTTCTTTTTTTAAATACAAAATGCAGGAAACATTTGCACACATCTGATGTAAGAGTAACATAATGAAGGCCGGAGAGTACAACAGCTGAAACATGATAAAAACAATAAAGACAAGGATACTAGTCCAAAGCAATGCTGAATAGTAACAAGATGAATGCTAGAGTACACCATCTGAAATGTTGTAACAAAGACAAGGATACTAGTCCAAAGCAACATTGAATAGAACCAAGATAAAGGCCTGAGTCTACAACAGCAGAAACGTTGTGATAAAAACAATAAAACAAGGATAGTAGTCCAAACAAATCACGGTTGAATAGTAACATGATGAAGGCTAAAGAGTACAATGGCTGAAATTATTGTTATACCTTCTGTGATGAAAAACAATGAAGACAAGTATCAGTCAAATCATAACATCACTTCAGTCTTTTTAAGCACGGACTTATTTTCATATTACATGCCCAACCTTTTTGCATCTCCTGTGTACCCTATGTGCAGATGGTTTGATAGCTGTGAGATCATAACAATGTACTTGTAACTCTGCAGATCACACAGTGTTCTTTCCACTTCACTTCTTTAACTTTAGCTTAGGGTGTTGACTGTTTACTTGAAGGTGTGAGCCATTCTTGACACTTCCCCCACCCAAACTCTTCCATACCCAGACTGTGACACTTCTAACTAAAACAGCAAGAAAAGTGATGTAATTACTTTCTTGCAGATAAACTTAGCTCTCTTTTCTAGCCTCCCACCTGTTGACTTTGGAGTGTAGATACTGGTATCTGGTTGCTATGGTTACATCTTCTCTACACGATCACGATGCTCTGTAGAAGATGCAGGTATCAGCTTCTGCTATTGTAGACACGTGAAGATTATTTTTAATTTAATTTTTTTCAGTGGAAAATGACTTTTTTTTTTTTTTTTTTTTTTTTTTTTTCCTTCTCTAATAAGCAAGTGATATATATGTATGTAGGTCGTCTTATGTGCAGACTGACTTTATGGTATAATCATAAAATATTTTTTATGGTAATAGTAATGGTGAAATTAGCCATTTCCATACAAGGAATCATTTGACATTAATTGACTGAGCAGATAGTGTTAGTGTTGGTTGAAATGTATAAAATATTTCTCTTAAAACAGTTTTTCAAGAAAATAGGCTTCTCAAGTCCAGTAAATGTTATTGCTCTTTCTAGTATTGATGGGGGGGGGTTCCTTCCTAACCTTTGGTTTAAAATGTGGAAAGTCAATGTCTTTACTAGATCATTATTTTCCCTTTTGTTACATCTACTATCCAATTTAATTGCTGCTGTTGGAAGTCTTCAAGTGATTTTTTTTTATTATTATTATTTGGTAAAATTCTTTGTGATTCTCTAGTGCCAGTCTACAAAATCTGAAGGATTGTTCTCAACCAGAGTCTATATGCACCCTGGGGGGTCCATGTAACATTACTAGAAGTCCACACAAAAAAAAAAAAACAAATTGGCGGCCCACGGTAACATTTTAGTGGTCCATAGAGCAATTTCACTTCAGGAAGGTTGTTAAAACTGTGAATTGGAATTTCTACAGTAATCTACGTCATATTAAAATATAAAAAATAGAAAAACAACTCTAAAATGAGCAGAAAATGAGATCAAATGATGTAAGTTTTAGCGTCCCTTTTACGCTACTGGATGTTTTGATTGTAAAAGTTGATTAAAACTGAGAAGGATATATAAAGGAAGGTTTATATATATATATATATATATATATATATATATATCATTCGCAGACAGTACTGTTTCGCTGTATCACAGCTCGTCAGTGTGACTAGACAACCAAATGCCAGAAGCCCGGATAGAAACCCAACCGATATATATATATATATATATATATATATATATATATATATATATATATATATATAATGGGGAAAATTATATAAAGATTATAATTTATTATATAAATAAATTTAATATATTAATAAAATAAAATATTAATATATGGATATAAATTAATATAAAATATTAATAATAAAATTAATTTTATATATATATATATATATATATATAAGGATTTTATTCAAAGGAAGCATATAAATTTACTATTTCTATAAT